TCATTTGAAATATATTATACTAATTTTTTATACCTTATCTATCTGATTTGATTATTTCTGTTTGTACATTTCTTTTTATTAATATTTTTGTATCATTACTTATTTCTTCCCACCAATTTCTAACATCTCCTTGAAAGGATGCTCTTAAGAAATCTATTCTTCTTTCAGTATTTTTCCATGTGTCATCTTTGTTATATAAAAAGAATAATATCATTGAATTTGTCCAAGTTAATAAGGCTTTTTTAGTATCTATTTTGCAATTTAAATCTAGTTTTGTTCCTCCATGATTAATTGGTTTATTATAATTATCATTTAATTCAAATTTATCTTTATATTTATTTCCTTTAGGTGGTTGTCTATCTCTTACTTTATCATAAAATTGTTTATATGACTTATTATATATAGGTGCATAGCTTTTATCTGTGTCATGTAATTTTTGTTTAGAAGTTCCTACTGGATTAGGTCATCTTTCAGTATTCATTAAAATTTGGTATTCACATATATCAGTTAAACTTAATTGATCAAAATTTTCTATTAACAAATCTAATTCTTTATTCATTTTTATCTTATTTTTCTTCAATTTTTAATTTTCCTAATGATTTTTCTCTAGATTCTTCTTCGTCTTCTAGTATTTTTGCTAATATATTCTTTCTAAATTCGTCATCCATGCTTTCTGTTTCTATGACTATATTTTATTTTTTTATATGTTTCTTTCCTATCTGAGTCATTTCTTTTTCTATAAGTTTTTTTTATCTATTTTCTTATCTTTATTTTTATTATTTTCTTTTAATTCTCTAATATCAATTTTAATATATTTATATCGTTTCTTGTTTCTTTTACTTCATTTCTCAAATCTTGTATATCATTTATTAAAATTTTTATTAATAATTTTAATTCTTCCATGTATTCACTTATTGACATCTAATTTTTTCTTATTTCTAACTCATAAGTTAATTTTCATCTTTTTTTCTTCCTTTTTATCTATTATTTTCCTAAATCTTCTTTCAGCTGTTTCTGGATCTACTAATTCTTCTTTTACTATAGTAAAATATTTGCTCTCAAGTCTTAGTCTTTCACATTTTAATTTTTTTAATTGTCTATTATTTGGTATTCTCATTCCTTCTGGTATTAACATTATATTTCATATTTCTTCTTGTATTTTATTCATCTTTAAAAGCAATTTATTCAATTTTTGACGTGTATTATCAATTGTACTCATATTTTTCTTTATAATATAATTTATTTTCTTTCATTTTCATATATATTAATAATTTTTTCATATGTATATATATCCTTTATTGTTTCTATTATTAATTTTTATAATATTTGTTCTTTTATTTCTTTAGGAAGCTCTTTAATTATTGTTAAAGTCATTATTTTTAATTTATTATGAATAGATTCTAAAAATATATAACTACCTTTTTCTTCTTCTAAACGTCAATAAGTATTTATTTTTTTTATTTTAATTTCCATGATCTCTATGGTTCTGATACCAATAAATGGGGGTGTTACTTAGAACGAACATAAATCAAATAAATCTAATAATCTATTAAAATTCATACAGTATCTGATTTTTTAAGGACTAAATTGAAAGATCTTTATATTTCATTAACTTATTATGCAATATTATAAAGGGTATTTTAGATATCAGAATGAGCCAAAGGCTATTTTGGAAAAATGACCTTTCTATTTAGGTCATTTCCAGGTATTTCCCGTTAAAAACAACCCCGTAACTTCCGCACTGTGCTGCTCCAAAATTTTCCGCTTCTCCATTAATTCCATAATACCCTAGCATTTTAGTTGGTGAAATCCATTGCGTCTAGCCCCCCGTGTCCAGCAGCCGAGTTGCAACTGAATCCATGGATTTGCTGCAGTCGTACAGAGATCTAGACTTGGAAGAAGAGGAGGATGAAGTTGAACCCAAATCGGAGCTCCAACCCGAAACAACATCGGGCCAGGACCCGTCTCCAGATTCTTCCCCTCTTCGGATGTCCCTTCCCTCCAAATCCGCTGCTCCAAGTGTGGACGACACTATGCTGTCTCTTACTGTCGCTGGCAAGGTACAATCCGATGCACAAAAACCCCTAAATCCGACCCAGCATGTTGTTTCGTTCAACCCCACCTATGACCAACTTTGGGCTCCTGTCGTTGGCCCGGCCCATCCTTACGCCAAGGATGGGCTTGCGCAGGGCCTCCGGAATCATAAGCTTGGATTTGTTGAGAATGCTGCTATTGAGCCGTTTGTGTTTGATGAACAATATAATACTTTTTATAAATTTGGGTATGCAGCAGACCCTACTGAGAACAATTATGTTGGGGATGTTGAAGCTTTGAAGCAAAATGATGGTGTTTCTGTGTATAATATACCGCAACATGAGCAGAAGAAGCGGAAACTTGAGAAAAAGAAGGAGATGCTGGAGGAGATGGAGAATGAGGGGAATGATCCTATGGATTTAGCAGAGGTGGATAATCCGGCCACTGAGGCTTGGTTGATGAAGAATAGGAAGAGTCCGTGGGCAGGTAAGAAAGAATGGCTGCAAGGAGAGCTGACAGAGGAGCAGAAGAAATATGCCGAGGAGCACGCGAAGAAGAAGGGTGAGAAGGAAGGGGGAGATAAAGAGAAAGGTGAGGCGCACGCCGACAAGAGTACATTTCATGGGAAAGAGGAGAAGGATTACCAAGGGAGGTCTTGGATTGAGCCTCCAAAGGATGCAAAGGCGAGCAATGATCATTGTTATATACCAAAGAGATTGGTTCACACATGGAGTGGGCATACTAAGGGGGTTTCGGCTATTAGGTTTTTCCCAAAGTTCGGTCACTTGATACTGTCTGCAGGTATGGACACAAAGGTGAAGATATGGGATGTGTTTAATTCGGGGAAATGCATGAGGACTTACATGGGGCATTCGAAGGCTGTGAGGGATATTTGGTTCTGTAATGATGGAACTAAATTCTTGACGGCAGGGTATGATAAGAATATTAAGTATTGGGATACAGAGACAGGACAAGTTATATCAACCTTTTCAACTGGGAAGATTCCATATGTAGTGAGACTCAATCCAGATGAGGATAAGCAGAATGTCTTGTTAGCTGGAATGAGTGATAAGAAGATTGTACAATGGGATATGAATACTGGGCAGATTACACAGGAGTATGATCAGCATTTGGGGGCAGTGAATACAATCACTTTTGTCGATAATAATCGGAGGTTTGTGACTTCCAGCGATGATAAGTCGTTACGGGTCTGGGAGTATGGGATTCCAGTTGTGATTAAGTATATTAGTGAGCCACATATGCATTCAATGCCATCAATTTCTTTGCACCCCAATGGGAACTGGCTTGCATGTCAAAGTTTGGATAATCAGATACTTATATACAGTACTAGAGAGAGATTTCAGTTGAACAAAAAGAAAAGATTTGCAGGGCACATTGTGGCAGGATATGCCTGTCAAGTTAATTTTTCGCCTGATGGGCGGTTTGTTATGTCCGGTGATGGTGAAGGAAGGTGCTGGTTTTGGGATTGGAAGAGTTGCAAGGTCTTTAGAACTTTAAAGTGCCACGAGGGAGTTTGTATTGGTTCTGAATGGCATCCGTTGGAACAGAGTAAAGTAGCTACCTGTGGGTGGGATGGCTTGATTAAATACTGGTATGAATTTGAATCCTTGGCTGAGTAATCTTTATATAATGCTGATAACAGTTATGCTATTTTTATATAAGTTATTGCTATCTTATAACATGTGAAATTATTTGTAGATACTAGCCAGGTTATCTTTACTTAATGAACGTATGGAAAGTCATATACTGGAAATATGCAAGCCAGGTGTATGATAAAGAGTGCCCTCGAATCTTGTGTGAAAATACTAATGCTGGAATACTGATGTTCTTATATCAGAGTCAGGAAGGATAAAAAATAAATGTGCGAAACATGGGAGGTCATTTTTGTTAGCGGGTAGTTTGCTTGTTATAAGCACGAAAATTAAGCCCCTGGTTGGCTCCCATTTTCTAAAACTTATTTTTCCTCAAATTCTTTTTCAACCACACATTTCATGTGATTATCAGCTTTTCAATTGCACGTCATCAATTTTTATGAAAATCTACTAAAATTTTGATTTTGAGCTTAACTGTAGTGTAGTAGTTATTTTTAAAACAAAAAAAACTTATTTATTTTTAACTTCAACTGACTAAAAGTTATTTATGTACTCAAATTTGTTATTGACACCATCTTCGGCTGAAGAATCATGTAATCCCCTTCATTTCACTGTTGATGAGAGCGTGCTAACTTCTCTTGAATATTTTTTCTTATGAAAGAACATGATCTTATATTCAAAGAATGATTGTGTTGAAAATACATGAAGACTTGGAAATTGTCATAAAACATGTGGGAAATGAAAATTAGGTATCAGTTTAACTGAACTTTAAATTATCTTTTTTCCCTTATAAATATTTTGATTCTAGATTTTATGCTGTGCTTCATTTCCTTTTTCTTAGAATTTCCCCTGTTGAAGAAATGGCATATTAGTCTGCTATTTTGTGTTTGTGGATGTTTCTTGATTAATTAGGTAATTTATTGCAAATCAAATATTAGACATGCATTAGTACACATTACTGGTAACTAACAGAAGCATGCATCCTGATTGTTTGTGAGTAACCTTGTACTGTGAAATGATTGAGTATCGTATTATGAGCTATAGCGTGTTCTTGTGCTGGTCTGTTCACCTTCAACTCAAACTTTTGCTTTCCTTGAGGGTCCTTTTTTGAGCTATAGTATTTTTTTTCTGCTTGTCTGACCTGGGAATTGACAAACAGTATGTTTGGCTAAGCCTAAAAGTTGCAAGCATACAAGCGAGTTTAAAATAAAGAAATTTTTTTTGTTGTTTAAAGTCGGAAATAAGTAAGTTACTTATTTGAGAGGATGGTAAGAGTTACTTTTAACAAAAGTAACTTTTTTAACTTGAAAGTATGTTATCTTAACGGCATTGGAGACAAAAAGTTATTTAAAAGTAACTTGACTTCTTTTTTTAAGCAACATGATCTAAAAGCTTTTCTTATATCTTTATCGTTTCCATTTTGCTTTTAAGAAAGTTTAATCAGTGTGTGGAAAGGGTCTTTCTTCCCCCTCTTATCTTTTAATTCTCTTGAAAACAAAATGGTGGAGGAAAATTACTCCAAAAACCACCCTCTACCTTTTGCACTCTTTGCATTTATTATCGTACTACTTTGGAATCTTATGCCCTCTTTAGATGTGGCACTTGGTGCACTGTTAGGATTTTTATGTATGCTTTTCTGAATGTGCACAATTCTGTTAAAATTGTTCAAACCTTGGGAATACCTAATAGATTTTCACTGGTTTGCAGGGACTAAACCCTTCGGAGCTGTTGATTGCCATGTAATGTACCAGATCAACATAATTGAGAATTACAGATATTGAGTATACTCAGTAAATTATGAATGCTCATATCATCCGAAGAGATGATTTCCCTTCATGATAAGATGTTTAGACAAATCAAGATGAAGCTGCCTCCAATGTACTCATCATACCATCTGTCAGTATCATGATTTTTGTATCCTGTTAGATGAGAAAATTACCCTCGCTAGCCTAACGTTATCTTGGATTGAATTTCAAATTGTGTGAATTTTTTTTCTGCTCTCAAGATCCGTTTGTAACATTAGTAGATTATGCTGTTAATTTCAGTTTTAGCATGACTCTACTCTCCACCTGCCTTTCTTTCCCCCTCTAGATCAAACTTTTTCACTTGGCTGAGAAAAAATATGATTATATTACAGAGGATGCTCCCATTCCTGTCTAACCAAAACTACAATGTGTGATTATGTGATTTTCTGACCATTATCCTGGATGAATTATTTTCCTTGGAAAATGGTTTAGATTTTTGTACATACAGCACAAGAATGGGCTGCAAATTCTTGAGGTGCCCTTTTCAGTTACATTACATGCTTGATGTGTCTCAGTTGTTGCATGTATGCAACGAATTTACACATCCAGACGATGAATATATTCTAGGTCCTTGCCTTTAGATGAATTTGTGTTCGTCGTCTTTTGTCCTTGAGTAAATTGGATTACAGAACCAACTGGATTGAGTTGTTTTGTCATGAACTATGTTATTTTATGATTATGGATTATGTTCTTCTGTAATCATGATGCTGTGTTGTTGAAGATTAATCTTATTATTTCTCTTCATAGTGTTTTTTGTATATAGAGAAAATACAAAATATGTGATGAGATCCATGTAAAGTAGGCCCAGCAAACAATGTTGGCATACGTTGACATAAAAGAAATGAAATCCAACTAGCCTTACGGCCCCAACTCAAAAAGGGCATAAATCAGCAGCAGTTTGCGTTATAGATTCACTCTGTTTGCCAGTAATAAAACATCCATTTATTCTTGGGTTTCTTTGTAGAAATGTAAAATTTAAGCTTTAGGGTTCTTGGAATTATTATTTCCATGCAGGTACAATGGAGATGATGATGATGATGATGATGATGATGATGATGATAATAATAATAAAAGTTCTAGGAATCTGTTAAAATGGCTAAAATGCATGGCAGGGGAGGCGTACTGCACAGTTTTAACTTCCATGATTTGTGTTATTTTTCTTAGTAAGATTGATCATTTTTGAAACTCAATAATTAAGATATTGGAAATTTTTTAAGCACCGATGATGTATTTTATATATTGAGTTCAAGGCATGAAATACAAAAAAGATGTTTTTATCATCATTTTAGGGATAATTGCAGCTTAGACCCAAACTTTTCAAACAGTGGCAGACTTTCTCTCAACCTTTCAATTATTGCAATCGTCACTCCAAATCTTTCAAAGCGTAACGGCTGAGGGCCCAATGGACGGTTTTCATCTAATCTGTCGTTAGTTGACCAAGAAAATTAATTCTGACCACATTTTACTCAATTTTAAAAGTACAAAATAGTAATTTAATAACTTTCCCATACAATAATTATAAACTTAAATAAAAAACAAAAACAAAAACAAAAAACAAAAAACAAAAAAAAAGGAAGGAAAAACTTTCTTCTTCTCCCTCCCCTCCCCTCCCCTCACCGCACGCACCCCCACCCCAATCCTTTAACCAAAACTAGAGATCTGCCATACCATCGTTATCGACCACCACTGTTACCATCGCTACCACATAAGAAATAACTTCAAGCTTGTCCTCAACAACAATTTTTTTCTTTCTTTCTTTTGCTTGTGGGTTTATATTACTTACCTTTGCATCTTCCTCTTAATCTCTCTCGACCGAATAGAGGTTTTGGGTCTTGAACGCAAACTCCCCTTGGACAGCATCAATTGCTGTTGGAGCGTCAAGTCCTTGGTCGCACCGCTACTAATCTAGTTTGCCTTAGCTTTAAAACCAACTTTGTTGACTAGTCTTCAAATTGGCTAAGTAAAGTCGACATTGACGCTTGGTCGTCTCAAGCTGCGATGGAGGACACATTCTAGTTAAAATTGGAGTTCGAAGATGGAAAAACCAACGACATTTGGTCGAGGAAATGAGACGACGTCGGATCGAAGTGGGATGACATCGGGGTTGACCATTTTGATGATTATTCATTTTTTGGACTAATTGTTCTTGGTTTAGACCCCGTTTGATAGCCATTTTTTTTAAAATGCATTTTTCTCTCTCTCTTCTTTTCAACAACACATTCTTTAAAAATAAAAAACTTTTTCTTATTTTTCAACCACACATTTGACATCAATTTACTATTCTGAAATGCATTTTTACATAAAAATGACTATCAAACACCCATTTAATAAGGAATTGATGTTCATGGCTTCCAATTCTCAACCACCAACCCAATCTGCAGATATCTTGATTTGTAGAGGAAGAGTTGGTGGTGATCGATTTTGGGTGGGGAGGATTTTAATTACTTGATTTGGTTATGTTGATGGTGGTCGAAGGTAGTGGTGGCGGTGGTCGATGGAGTCAGTGGCACCATGGCGGTAGGAGTGATGTTGGTAAATTTCTAGTTTTGGTTTGAGGGGGGTTGGGGGTTGATGAAGAAGATAGTTTTACCTTTTTTTTAAATTTTTTTTCTTCTTTTTCTTTTTTATTTAAGTTTTTAATAATTTTATGAGAAAAATATTAAATTACTATTTTGCCTTATTAAAATTGAGTAAAATATGGTCAAAATCATTTTTTTTGGGTCAACTAACGACACCATCCATTTGGGTCTCAGCTATTACGATTTGAAAGGTTTGAGATGACGGTTGCAATGATTGAAAGTTAGGGGATAGTCTATCACTATTTGAAAAGTTTGGGGCCTCAGTTGCAATTATCCCTTCTTTATATATTTTAATTTAATATAAAACTGCTAAATCTTCAAATGAAATTTTTTTTGCTGTTATTTTGGTCAATTATGATTGAGAGTGAGATGATTGTCCAAAATGAGTCAATAGACTAGAATCCAATGTGGTTGTCAAATTGGCAGCAGAGGATATGCCAATTGGAAGGTATTTTTTTTACCTACCACCCATTATTCTGGTTCTATCAAAAATAAAATGAAAATGTTTGTGGATTTATTATTTTCACCCTGAGTACCTTAATAAGATAACCTTCTCGGGTCAATGATCGGAGTTGGATTGAGATTCAAAAAAAATAATAGTATTAATACGATTCACTTATTAACCATAGTTCAATCATAATATGATGAACGAATTCATAATTCTTTTTTCTTCTTCCTTTTTATTACTCAAGAAACAAATTATGAAAGTTCTTGTGCTTATTATTTCTAATAAAATATTATCAAGTAAAAAAATCACTTTAATAAGTGATCATTACAATATTTATTTTGTTGACATTACTAACTCGCTTTTATCAAAAACACGAAGAACAAGATTTGCACTCCTAATTTAGTGAGTCGAGAATGACCAAATGGATTGCTCTAACTAAAGCCCCGTTTGGTCCCATTTTTTGGTAATGAAAATGGGAGGAATGATATTTTTTAGAAAATTGAGTGGTTGAAAAAGAAGGAAAAATTTTTAATTTACGTATAATATTATTTTATTAAAGATTGTGTGGTTAAAAATATGATAAAGAAAAATAGAATGTAATTTAATGGGGATCAAATAGGGGCTAAGAAAGTACGAGGCTCTTCGAAAATTATACGAAATAATTTATTTCTAGAATCACAAAAAAAAAAAAAGGGGAGAGGAAAAGAAAAGAAAAAGAATTCTTAACGAGGACGGAATGACCAAGGGACGCGCTAGATGCTCGAGTACATAATAACGCACCTTTTTGGCGGCATCATTTCACCCTCACCTTACAAATTCCATTATTCCTCTGATATATATAACCAGGACACGTTATGTCATTTGTGTCTTTCAAAGCTTCTCTCTCTCTCTCTCTCCTTAACTAAAATTTGCTGAGCTTATTATATATGTTAATATACTTTCGTTTTGATTCACCCTCACCTTACAAATTCCATTATTCCTCTGATATATATAACCAGGACACGTTATGTCATTTGTGTCTTTCAAAGCTTCTCTCTCTCTCTCTCTCTCTCTCTAACTAAAATTTGCTGAGCTTATATATATGTTAATATACTTTCGTTTTGAGTTGAATTTGAACTTTTAGGAAGAAGAGCATGGTGACTTTCTGCGACGAGAATTTTGTGTGTTCCGGTTTTGCGTCGTCTTCGACGGACGATCGAAGATTCTCGAAGCACATCCATGATAATGTTCACGGAAACATCTATCTCGATTCTGTATTGCCTTTAATCCTTCGTATTTTCATTTTCATGTTTAAATTGTTCTGTAATTGTTTATCCTATGTGTTTTTAGTTAGGATTCTCGAAGCACATCCATGATAATGTTCACGGAAACATCTATCTCGATTCTGTATTGCCTTTAATCCTTCGTATTTTCATTTTCATGTTTAAATCGTTCTGTAATTGTTTATCCTATGTGTTTTTAGTTAGTTTTTTTTTTAATTGTATTTGAAGTTGAGAAATTTGCATCTGATGAAAATTTAGGTTCACTTGAGTAATTTAAACGTAATATCACCTGATTTTGTGGAATTTATTGTCTTCATACATAGCATGAATATTGGTTTTGGTACGTCAGTGAAGCTTTTGAAGCAGAGATGTCAAGTTATTCCTTTGTTTGAGACGTTTTTCCTTCATTTTTCATTTTCATGTTCAAATGGTTTTCACTTAAGTAAGTTAAACGTAAAATCACCTGATTTTGTGGAAGTTATTGACTTCATACATAGCGTGTATATTTGGTTTGCGTGTTTTGGTACGTTATTGGAGCTTTTGAAGCAGAGATGTTAAGTTATTTCTCTGTTTGAGACTTTTTTCCTTCAATTTTCATTTTCATGTTTAAATTGTTCACTCTCGGAGTTTTGAGTTGTTATATTTTGCAATTTGGAATGGAGAAATTTGAATTTGTTTTTAGATCGATGCGATTAATATGGATGTAATATCATCTGGACTCATGGAATTTATTGTCTTGATAGTTGATACAATGATACTAGCTTATTTGTTTTTTGGAGCTTTTGAAGCAGAGATGTTAAGTTATTTCTCTGTTTGAGACTTTTTTCCTTCAATTTTCATTTTCATGTTTAAATTGTTCATTCTCGGAGTTTTCAGTTGTTATATTTTGCAATTTGGAATGGAGAAATTTGAATTTGGTTTTAGATCGATGCCATTAATATGGATGTAATATCATCTGGACTCATGGAATTTATTGTCTTGATAGTTGATACAATGATACTAGCTTATTTGTTTTTTGTGTAACTGAAGATTTGATGCCGAGATATTAATGTTATTTGATTATTTGAGACGTTTTTTCTTTTTGACCGTATGTTATGGAATTGCAATTCATCGGTTTTATCTTCCAATTAGCCTAATAAATACATATTCAATGCGACATGCATCTCATATTGTACTTGTATGTATGTGAATAATTGCAATTTTAAGGGAAAAAATCCTAACCACTTAATAATTTAATCATTTTTATTCTAGATTTGTGATTTCTTCTTCTTCTTCTTCTTTTTTTATTTTTTTTAAGATTTTTTTTCTTTTCATAATTCAAGTTTCTGAGTTATGATTATTTATATGTATAACATATGGAATTGCTTATTAACTTTTAGAATTATTTTGTATAATTAACTGTTTTATATTAAGAGTATTTCTATGATATTTATATGTATGTGGGCTGATACTATCCTCCGTTGACTGTATACATGTAGACAGAAGAGATTTGAAGGAGGGGAGTTTATATTGTATTTGTTTGTTATATAGGGTAATGTGAAAACAAAAGGCTTGAGTTATGCAACTACATAAATTTCAGTTATCTGCTCTTCTTTTGGATGTCATCATTGCTTTAAATTGGCTAGTTTCAGTGATTAATGGCAATCGGACAAAAATAAAGGAAAAATTAAATAGGTGAAACTTGTACTCTTCTCAAGTTATAGTTCGGCAGTGTGTTTTGATTCTATATTTACAAAAATTACTTCATTCTGAAAAGTTGCATTTTTATTAACACTGAAATGTAAAATTCCCAATTGCACAATGCGATTTCAGATATGAAAATCTAGAGAGAACTATGCATTCTTAATTAACTTCTTCTCATTTTTTTTGAATTGAATTGCAGCTCTCGTTAAAGTTTATTGACACCGAACAATTTCAGAGGCAAGTTGAATAGTTATACACGTTTTTTTTTTTTTTTCCTGTCCAGAAGTGAAGTGCATGTTACACTTTCATTATTGTATTTCCTTGCATATTTTTAGGTGAAGTAATATTCTAATATGTTCCTTTATGTATGCAGACTTCGTGATTTGAAGCAGCTCGGTGAGTGGTGGAATTTTGTAACTGTTCTGAATTGATAGCATTCAATGAAGTAAATAAATGACCAAAGTTGTTTGTATGGCCGGATAGAACTTGGGCTGAAAAATGAGATAGTAAGATGGATGTGAAGCCATACAAGAGTAAATAAGATCGGAAATGAGAATACACCTACATATAGAAGTGGCACTAGTTGATAATAATTTAGGTGAATGACCTTGGTAGTTGGGGCATATCTTGTATAGGCTTACCAAAAATAATATTGCTTGATGTGGTAGAGAAATTGGAACAAAGAAGTGGCGAAAAAGGATTTATGTACGCTTATTTTTATTTTTATTTTTTTCTCGTGTTAAACTCACGTCTTTCCTAATGCTTGTTTGCTACTTGCAAGACCAGCCTTGAGATGCTGATTACTTTTATTTGTATTTTCAGGTTTAACATACATGGTTTATCCAGGGGCTGTGCATTCTCGGTTTGAGCATTCAGTTGGTGTCTATTGGCTGGCTAGTGAAGCTATACACAGATTGAAGACCTATCAAGTATGTATGCATGGTCTGGTTGCTCTCTTTATCAGAAAATTGTAAGAGTTTTAATTCATACCGTCTTTGCAGGGATTAGAACTTGGTATTGAACGCTGTGACATACAAACAGTAAAACTTGCTGGTATATCTTTCTTTCTTTACGCGTTTCTTTGGTAAACTTGTTTGCTAATCAATATACTAATTAATAGGCAATCACCATGTTTACACTCAAAACATAACTCTTTCTCTTTTCATATAGGTCTACTACACGATGTGGGTCATGGGCCATTCAGCCACATGTTTGAGCGCGAGTTTCTACCCCGGGTTCTCAATGGCCTAAAATGGTGATTTTCTACGTTTCAGTATTATAGATCTTTTCGTCCCTTCCATCAGCATCTAATTTCATGGTTTCTTATTCTAATTTAACATTTCGATCTAAACTATCAGCATTCGTTCAGTTGTCTCCAATAACCCCTATCTGTTTGTATCAACATTTAGTCGTGCCATTCAGCCACATGTTTGAGCACAAGTTTCTTCCCCAGGTTTTCAATGGCCTGAAATGGAGATTTTCTATGTTTAAATCATATATATTTTGTTGTCCCTTTCAGCACTTAATTACATGATTTCTTATTCTAATTCAACATTTCCATCTACACTATCAACGTCCATTTATTTATCTCCAACTGTATCAAGAATCGGTCTTAGCAAATTAAAAGAGATTTCTGGTAATCATTATTGAGTGAAAGTTCACTGTTTAGCAGTATCATTTGAAAGCTAATTCTGCACATGTCATATGCGCATACTACTTACATGGGTTACTGTGTCTTCCCAATGTTTCCTAATTTTTGTCTGTAGACCTGAAACACTAATTATTCCTTTTTTTCGTTCGATTGGAGAAAATGCTTCCAATTACACATGGGATGGACATTCTCAAATCTCAATCTCATACAACTTAGAATTGATATCTAAATTCAACTTTCTCGAGGGCATGGTGCTTACCTCAGCTTTGATTCATATGATGTAAAATTGATTTGGTACTATTAACAAAATCTTGCAATTTACATGATATTGTCTTTCATGATTAATCTTTTGTCGTCATCTATTACTAGGGGATAGAATCTTAAATCTGCTTGTCAAGTGTCCATTTTTTCTCGCTAAATTTTTGAAATGCGAATTCCCTTTATATCCTCAACCTTTTTTTTGACTTATGTGTTTGTTGAACTGTTTTTACTAGTATATCCACAAAAATTTAGCCATTGAAATGCTTAAATACATACTACCGATTTACTAAATTACTTATGAACGAATATAATGAACAAAAATTTTCAGGTCTCATGAAGAAATGTCTTTGAAGATGATAGACTACATTGTTGATGAACACAATATAGAGAATGATTCTGAAAGTCTTAAGAAAGTCAAGGTTTGATTAACTGATGTTCTATTTTATTTCCTCAAGATTCTAATATTTTTTAAGGTGTTTTTCATGATTAAATAAGTAGCCTATAAATGTTTTCATAAAGTTCAGAGCTTATACATTATCTCTTTCAAGATGGGATTTCAATGGGAGAACATAATTCTTCTCAGATGTTCTTCACTTATTTTGGTGAGGGCTTGAGTTGTTTCTTAGGGAAGCAATGCTACTGTCTCTTAGTACATGCTCCCAGACATTGTTGTCTCGCACATTTCCATGCTATGGATATTTAATCTTTTCATGAGCTGGATCACTTATAATGGCTTTCTAAACATGATGGACATTAACCTGTTGGAATTAGAACGTGAAGTATGAGATTTGTCTCTCCTTTCTATAGTTTGACACACGTCTTTTGTCCTCAGGAAATGATAATTGCTTCTGAAAATTCTACTTCAAAAGTAAGTCATGCAGTGTGAGGTCTTCTGAGGAGCTGAAAATCAAGTGACATAGTCTAATTTCTGAATGTTTATTGTGTAGAGCTCCGACGAAAAACATTTCTTGTATGACATTGTTGCTAATGGGCGTAATGGAATTGATGTGGACAAGTATTATTTCTAGCCTATTTCACTTCCTCTGTAGATCAGCTTCTGCATTACTGTGGATGTTACAGCAGACTGTATTGCACCAATGGAAGTTATTCCATCATTAGCAAGCAATTAATTACGGGTTTGCTTGATTGCAGATTTGACTACATTGTCCGTGACTCCAGGGCTTGTGGTCTTGGCTGCAATTTTCAGTTTCAGAGGTATGTATGATTGCTTAATAGCTAATTAATTTATATTTTTCTGACCCTACTAATTTTTACGAAAAATTCCACAATGATGTCTTTACTTTGTTTAAGTTAAAAGTTAAGCCTAACTCCAGTGCTATGAATTGCAGGGTTTTAGAAACTATGCGAGTAATAGATGATGAGATATGTTACCGTTCTAAGGAATGTTAGTATTTTGTTTTAATTTTTTTTTATTTCTTTGGGCAATTCTGCTATCTGATCATCACATGCTGAAAAGAATCTCCAACTTATGTGTTGGTCGATGTTCAGATCTTACAATCCACAAATTATTTGCTGCTCGGGCAGATTTGCATCGGACAGTATATACGCATGCAAAAGTGAAGGTGCCTAATTACTAGTGTATCTTCTGAGTTGCTTTGATCTATGTCTAAACTTGGAATGCACAATCTAACATTTAGTGTTTTTTAGGCTATAGAACTCATGTTCGTTGATGCTATGACAAAAGCAAATGATTATCTGCAAATTGCATCATACATTGATGATCCAGCTCAATACTGGAAGGTTAGTTGAGTTTATCAATGATTTATCGTAAAATGTATAATTTGTTGGATATCTCAAAAACCTATGTGGTCCATTTTATTTCAATCTGCAGTTAGACGACACAATAATGAAAACCATTGAAACTTCTTCCCATCAAGAGCTGAAGGAATCTAGAGACCTAATTCTTCGCATACGGAGAAGGGATCTTTACCAGGTATTTGCAATACAATTTAGAAAATTTCTACTTGTACATAATTATTGTACATGATGGTGTCTATAATGTGATGTGGCAATCATCCGGTTGTTGATGTGCAAGTGTGAGATTTGAATTAAAGGTTGGATCCAGTGCCACGTGTAATTATGGACACCATTATGTAGACAATTATGTACATGTAGTATTTCCCTACAATTTATATGATGTAATCTGCGACTTTTAACTCTTAAGTGTATGTTTTGGGTGCATCAACTTTGCTGAGCAATTTACTGACAGCAATATCTCCCTTTCCCGTTCCTTAAAATGCCCTTACAGTTTTGTAACGAGTTCGCTGTTCCAAAGGACAAGCTGGAGCACTTCAAAAATGTTACTCCTCAAGATATAATTTGTTCGCAGGTCTGATCAGATACATGCAAATATGTCCAGTCTAGACTATTGATATAAAACCTGACATATTGACTTCAATGCAGAATTCTAGTCGCCCTGCGCTGCGGGAGGATGATATTGCGGTGAGCAATGTCAAAATTGATCTTACTCGTGGAAGGAAGAATCCACTTGAAAGGTACTTCAGTGATACTTGGCTAAAGATTTTCAATGTAGATTCACGACTGACATTTCTACAGAGTCACTCTAAATTTTGATTTAACTTTTGCTGCGTTCATGTGCTTTTCTCTTCACCAGCATCAACTTTTTCCAGGTACAAATCTTCCTTTCCAAGCTTAAAAATTTTCAAGTT